ACACACACACACACACCCACACACACACACACACACACACACACCTTAAATGTCTTCCTCGGGCTAAAGAGCCGCACTTCCTCCTTTTGGTACTGACGAAAGAAAGGATGAGCTAAAGCTTGCTCGGCCGTGAGGCGAAGAGTGGGTTCCACCACTAAAAGCCTTGAGATCTAAGGGAGTTTAAGGGAATACACATATGGGTACATTTCTTAATATTAGCAGTTAGCCTGTATATGCTATAGGCTGAGAGAATGCTAAGAGAATCTCACCAAGTCTTTGACGGTGTCAGACCGGTCATCCCACTCTGGAGAGCTAAACTGGTACCGGCCTTCCATGATCACTCTCAGCATCAGCAGCTGTTTACGATGCCAGAATGGTGGAGACCCAGCAAGAAGCGTGAACATGATCACACCACAAGTCCACCTGTGGGAAAACATGGAGCAAAACGATGAACCAACTTTCTTTTGTGACACAAAGAAAGGTTTAATAAGGTTTAATATCAAAACTCAGCTTATTTACTCACAGGTCAACCTCTTTCCCATATCCCACGTGTGTCTCATCCATGGAGCACTTCAGAATCTCTGGTGCCAGATATCCTGGTGTTCCACACAACTCTAACAAGGGAAATTGAAAAAGACCAGTGTTACAAACAATATATGTTTTTAATAAAAAAAAAATCTGAAAATCTGCTTTGATTTGCCACTGTGGAAGGACAGGGTTGATTTTTTTTCACCTCTTAGTTTTTCATCAGGCCCCAGCTGGACTGAAAAGCCAAAGTCAGAAAGTTTAATGTGTCCCTGGTCGTCTAGCAGAATATTTTCAGGTTTGAGGTCACGATGTACAATATTTAGTGAGTGTAGATATTGGACAGCCTCCAGAAGAGCACGCATCATACTCCTAAAAGCGAGAAGAGATTTGCAGGAAATATTTGCGGCCAATAATGGTATGGGGAGAACAATTTGCTACAATAGAAACTTAAAGCAAGATCTGAGAATAAATTGAAAACTCACCTGGTTTCCTTTTCACTGAGAGTCACTTTTTCAGTCAAGTAATCAAATAGCTCTCCTCTCCTCATGCTGCACAAAAAGTTGTGTGTGAAATTACAACATATACACAGTACTGTTTAAAAGTTGGGGGTCGCTAAGATACGTTAAAGTAAAAGAAGTCTCTTATGCTCACCAAAGCTGCAGTTATTTGGTCAAAAATACAGTAAAAACATTAAGTTAAATATTATTACAATTTAAAAGAACTGTTTTCTAGAAAAAAAAATCTTACTGACCCCAAACTTTTCAGAGGTAGCGTATAACAATATAACATAATTTAATATATACTTACAGGTCAAATACCAAAAATATGAAGGTTGTTGACTCATAAGAATCAATAAGTGTAACTGAAAAATGAGCACAAATAAGGTCAGTTACTACTCAGAAAGGTTTCAACTGATGTTCAAACATTAGCAGTAAAATTCCGACTCACTGATGGACGGGTGGCCCTTCACCACATTGAGCACATGGATCTCCTTCAGTGTGGAGCTCTTCACCTCCTCTAACTGCTGTTCTGTCATTTTCTCTGCAGTGATCTCAATGATCTTCACTGCAAACTCCTGCCCTGTGTGTTTGTGTACACATCTGCGCACCACACTGCTCACACCTCTGCACAGGGGACAGTTCAGTTACAAGATATCTCAAAAAGTGACACCAAAACACTTTCTGAATCGAACAAATCCTCACCTCC